TGATAAGTTTCCTTGACAAATTCCCTTGACAAGTTTCCTTGACAAGTTTCCTTGATAAGTTTCCCTTGACAAGTTTCCTTGACAAGTTTCCCTTGACAAGTTTCCTTGATAAGTTTTCTTTGACGTGTTTCCGTGACAAGTTTCCCTGACAAGTTTCCTTGACAAGTTTCCTTGACAAGTTTCCTTGATAAGGTTTCTTTGACAAGTTTCCTTGAGAAGTTTCCGTGACAAGTTTCCCTTGATAAGTTTCCTTGACAAATTCCCTTGACAAGTTTCCTTGACAAGTTTCCTTGATAAGTTTCCCTTGACAAGTTTCCCTAACAAGTTTCCTTGACAAGTTTCCTTGACAAGTTTCCCGTGACAAGTTTCATTGACAAGTTTCCATGACAAGTTTCTTCGACAAGTTTCCTTGACAAGTTTCCTTGACAGTTTCCCTTGACAAGTTTTGTTCTCGTGCGCAAGGAATGTGAAACATTTATCTCAAGTTAAGTCCGCGTTTTGTTTACCAAAAGCCCAAAACCATAATAGAAGTAATTTATTTTCTACACTTTTCCAGTTTTCCTTGGCGGCCGTACACACGAATAAATTTTCCTTGACCAGCTTTGAAATTTGCGAGGCTCCTTGGTAAGGAAAAATTGTCAATATTTTTTGCCGTACACGTACAAGCAAATAAAACTTGTCGAGGAAAAAGTTGTGCTTGTCTGTACGCGCTGTACGATTTTACGCGGAAACATGCTTGTTGTGCGCCAAGTATCTAAGGTTACATATGATAATACACACTTATTACAAGAACTCCTTTGTGTATAAAGTCGAACCCCTATCAACGGACACCTCTCTTAAGCCCGTTCTCCACTAGGCGAATTTGTTCGCGCGAACAGTAAAAAAGTAGGAACGGTCCAACTTTTTCGCGGCGAATTTTTTCGCTGACCAATCACATTGCCAAGATTTGTTCTTCGCATCGCGCGAAAAAATTCGCCTAGTGGAGAACGGGCTTTAATTAACATACCATTATCATTACCCCTATTCAGTAATTCAGAGGACACGTACATATTAAGCCGAAGAGGACACTCACTTGAGGTCCTAATGAGCTGAATATAGATCGTTCAGACTTGACTTCCAACTACCACAGAGTAACATTAATTAGGGACCATCAACCAATCAGATGCGTTTGATGTATTCGATTAATAGTATACGTAGTGGAAATCAAAACTGAACCTCTATATAAACGTAACTGAATGTAAATATGCTAAATTAAATTTTCATAACAATCAATGGTAAAAAAACAATTTTAAGAAAATTCACTAGACACACGTATTTGTCATTAAATATTGTTTTGCATTATTTCTATGCAGTATAAATGCTAATAACTTGAGTTAGTCTCCGAAAACAAACTTCTCTTCCTTTAATTTGTCTTTCAAGCGATTGCAAAATAAATCTGTTTCCTCGAAACTTGAACTCGCTAGGAAGTTCCACACCATAACCAGCCCCTCCATTGGCATGTTCACCTTTGATCACTACTGTGCCTAAATTAGTTTGGCATTACCTCCTGCTGTGTTCGCTATTGCAAACCCCTATCAAGCGGATACCCCTTTTAGTGGACGCATGCATTGGTGAGGGCCAGAAGGTGTTCGCTTAATAGGGTTGAGACTGTCATATTTCTACATGGTGATAGGGTGTGGCAAAAATTTTAAAAGAACTTAAATTTGAAGTTATATTTGAAATTATAAATGTAGACCTAGGAGTGGCTCTTTAGCCTGCACAATGACCCATGAACACAGTTGCGAAAATTAGATTCTTCCTATCAATGCATATGGTGCATCAGAGCTCATCACAGTTGCATAGATGCCAAGTCTCACGCATTAAGCGTGTGACACACGCCTCAGCATCATTTCTCACGCTCACACGCTTCAGTTTGATTATCTCACGCATAAGCAGAAAGTTAGCTGAGAAGCTAAAATGTAGAGAAATAATGATTGTAAAATGTTTGAACTAATTTCTTTTGGTATAGTAAAGCTATCAATAAACATCAGACTCTAAAACTACTTTATGATGTAACCTGAGCGCATTTGTTAATCAAGCTATCAATTATACCGCTTAAAGTTTGATGTACTTAGTAGTTACACATGTTTTCACATGCATTATTACTTGTTAAACATTGTGCCTTAACACAAAATGTACCTCTAAAATCTTGTTTTTGAGAAACAAAAATAATTCCCAAATATATTCTCAGAACGCTTGAAATGCCGTTTACGAGACCCAAATTTCAAAAATGTTTCAGGGGGGGGGATGATTTTGCTGTGGTGTGTTCATCTCACACGTGGGCAAAGCACGACCTTGGCATCTATGCAGTTGGTGGTCAATAAAATTGTCCAACATTAACCAGAATATGATACGCTAAGCTTCACCCTTATATAAAGACTTGCTAGTGCCATCAGAAGGAAATTGCTATGTGGGGGGGGGGGTCAACCAAGAGGAGTCGGGGGGATGCTCCCCAGAGAATTTTGTATACTTTCCGAAGCCTCGGAAGGGCATTTTCAGTGTTTCCTGAGAGGAATGTTTACCAATGTTATGAATTTCTCGCATTTATAAATTTAAGATTTTGTAATTCACTTTATAACTTTTTATATCTTCATCCCACCAGTGTTGAAACAGTGTTTGATCTGTAATACTATGCAATCACATGCAAGCTTGAATGAATAGATTTTGTCCCTTATTGATATATACACAATCATATAATAATTGCCTGAAAAAAAAAGAAATAATGTATAATATAGACCCCCGCCCCCGCATCTGACCGCCCTGCTTAACACAAAAATGTTGTTGCATGCATGCAATAAATCCCCTGAGCATGCATGCACTTTTGCCATTTGCAGTTGCACCTGCACAATTTCAAGGCAGCGTTACTTAATTGTGCACAAAAATATTTAGTGATAGAAATCGTATATGTAGAATATTTTCACTAAAAGTTCAGAAAAATAGCATTTGCCCATGCATGCAACATTTTGATGGTGCCTACACAAAATCCCAAAATGGTTGCCAAAATTCAATTTCCATATGTTACTGAAAATCCTTATGTAATATAAAGACCCTCCAGTGCCAGGGAGATAAATTAACACATTCAAACATGACAAATATATCATGATTTATTTGTATGTCGCAAAATTGGGCAGCACTTAACCACCCACACCCCCCACACCCCCCTGACCTGGCGATAAACAAAACACTAAACTGCCAAATCTCTCAACCCCTAATGCACTAAATAAGCTTTTTAAAATATCAAAGAATATTTTAAGATTCATTACTTTAAAATGAGCATCTTTTAGCTTCTTTAAGTCATTTTCTCCTACACATTTCTCGTCAGAATCAATTTCTTCGTCCTCAAGTACTGTTTCCTGGGCGGCCATATTTATCTCGTTCAGCTTGACGCATGCTCAGTTTCGCGTCTTGATACTGGCAAGATGGCGGTCTTGTCGAAGTACGATAAGGCCGGTGCACAATCTCTTTGCATCCGCCTTTTCTCCTGTATCCAACACTGCATGAATTTTAGATAATAGAACTTGGATTATTTTTCTATATATTTCGACCTTACATGAGCACGAACGAGCGCGATAAGCTCCTAAAACAATAGTCAAAACATGCCAAGCAACAGTACACATCATCGAAGCACGTCTTCCAATCTCGTCCGTGAAAAGACGAAGAAGGCCAAGAAAAAGGCCAAAGAAAAGTCCAATAAGTCCAAAAAAACCTCGAAAAATGAAACCCCCAAGGTTACTAAGAACGATGTCCCAAAAATTAAAATCGCTGCATTGCAAGAGTATGAGGATATATCGCCTGCAACTGGTGAGGAAAGTGATTCCGAAGCTGACCGACAAACTGTGATTGTGCAACGTTCTCCTTCGCCGCCGGCGCCAAGCGTCTCAAAGAAAAATCGCGTTGAGAAGAAAAAAAAGAAGAAAACTAAAGGGACACCAAAGGTAAAAAGTGGTAAACACAAGAGTGTTAAGAGGAAACGTTCACCATCGCCTGCTAAAAGACAAGTGTCTGTCAGTGAATCGGTGCATTCACCTATTTCACCAGCAGTTTCAAAACACGAGTATAGGGATGTGAGTCCGGCGAGTACTGTGAATGAATCCAAACATGGTAACCAAGCCACAGACCATTCAAGGCAGAATGATAAGGAACCAGCTAGAAAGAAAAGTAAACTACATAAAAAACATAAGGCAAAGAAAACTGAGTCACCTGTACTTCCAAGGGCTTATCAGCCAAAAGATGTGGATAGTCCGAGCCCATATAGATCACCAGGACAAACACACTCTGTCTCGCCTGAGCGGCAGGCCACATACAGGAGGTCGAGATCACCATTTAGGAGAAAAAGCCCTTCATCCAATAAATCTGGAAGGAAGCATCATCGATCACCATCAAGGTCACCATATAGAATGTTAAATAGACCATATATTTCACCTTATAGGTCACCATTTAGATCACCTCCCCACAGATCACCATACAGGTCACCATATAGATCTCCTCCTGGTTACAGGTCACCATATTATAATTCACCATACAGATCACCACCGGGTGGTTATTGGTCGCCGAGACGATCTCCTGCTTATCAGGGAAAGCAAAGTCGGTCAATTCGTTCTGGACGGGGACATTCTCGTTCAAGGAGTCTGTCACCACATAAAATGATTAAGTCTGCAGTGAAAGCTATGAAGTCTAAATCTGAAGTGAAACATGCAACTAAATCACGGCGGACTTCTGAAACAGAATCAGATGGCAAATATCTGTCGAGGAAAAACTCTACTTCTCATAAAAAGCATGAAACATCACATCGGAAGTCTCCAGTGAGAAAGAAAGATGAGACTAGCTCATATAGAGATAAAGATGAACACAATAATAGGGGTAAATATCACTCAAGTAGCTCTAGCACAATAAGTAAGAAAACAGACTTATTAAAAGTTGATGTGAAGGCTGAACTTGCAGGAACTATGTCTCCAATTACTCCACCTGTGAAGGTACCCACACCTCAACCCCCGCCACCACCAACTGAAACTGAAGATAAACTGTTCAATATTGAAGATGGTAAACCACCACTACCTAGTGAAGAGGCTACAGTACCATTACCCATTGAAGAGGTTAAGGCACCATTACCAAATGAAAAACAGAATGAGAGTGTTCCAGTTCCACCTTTACCTGATGCTGAACCACCCCCACTTCCCCCAGAAGATGATGTACCCACACAACCAGCACTTCCACCATTACCATTACCCCCGGTTCTTCCCAACTTACCAGATGAGTCACCAGGCTCAGAATCATCGGACACATCAGAGATAACAAAGGAACAGACTGAGACTGCCTTGGACTCTAAACCTACAACGCCTTCAGTTATGTCTACCCCTGGTAAATCTGATGATGAAACAGATGAGGAGGGGGAATGGGGTGAACGATGTGTAGATATGTTTGATATTATTGCTATTGTTGGTGAAGGAACATTTGGACAAGTATACAAGGCAAAGGAAAAAGAGACAGGTATGTGATGATAAATCTTAATTCTCATTAGATTTATTTATGCATAGTATGTGTCTGTGGACGGCCAGCCAGCCGATCAAAATATGACTGTCAATGGCATTTTTTGTTACAAGCAAACAACAAGCTTTTTCTTATAACATAGACACTACCAGTGAGTCAAGTTTGATGTGTTGCCACCTCTGATTTTAACGAATGAAGAGAAAATTTTAAGCATTTGAAAAGTTTGCCTATTAAATTATTATACTCCCAAAAAATGTGAAATTTGAAGTTCACTTAAATTAGCATCGTCTATATTGTTAGAAAGAGCATAAAAAAGTACAGTATATGTAAGACTTAAACGAGTAATACGATTTATTTAGTTGGCTAAATATTCGAGTTATGAACACTTAAAAATGTGGAAAATGAGGTAAAATGCGGTGAGTGACGCCGCAAAAGCTGTTCTTTAGCAACTTTAAGCACCTGTAACTCAAAACAGGGTTATAAATTCACACTTCTCACTTAAATGTTCTATAGCTCCTTTTTTTCGAACTTTCTGATTATATAGGTGATTTTTGCTGAATGTTGGTTTCAAATTTCACAATTTAGTGAGCGTAGCAATTTAATAGGCAAAATTTTCAGATTCTCAAAATTTTTCAAACCAATATCAGAGCTGGTGGCAACCTATCAAACGTTGTTCTCCAGTGTCTAAGCTATAAGGAAATGCCAGTTGCCAGCTTGTAACAAAAAATGCCATCAATGGCATTTTTTTAGAGACTCGTTTATTGAGGTTGGCTGGCTGTCTACTGTGTGAATATCTGATGTTTTTCACTAACTCTCTCTTAAAAAGAGGAGTCCGTTTAAATGTTCAATCCAACAATTTTACTTGTCAATGAGAGATTTTAATGCTTGTTAAAGGGGGGTGGGGCACACCGCCCCAGGGGGGCGTTGGTTCAGATTGTCCAGACCATAAATTTCACCAAAACCTCATGCTGAGATATTATCTTAGTCTGCCTAATATTAGTAATATCAACAATTGTACTCGTTTTGGGGAAAGGGCTGGCCTCAAATTTGGTTAATTTAAGTCATCTTTGAGTTTATTTATTGAGCTATGATAAAATTACATGCAACATGGGAACTTTGATATAAATGACGTCCACTCAGCCACCAGTGAAATTCACCATTTGCCAACCTAAACCTGAAATGCTGCCAGGGTTCGAATTAGCGGCTCGCTATTTGCGAATGCAAATTCGGTTTTTGCGAATGTAAAATCATCCATTTTGCGAATGGCGTTTTGCAAAAACAATGTGTCAAAGGTTGATTTTGACAATCACTTCGAATGTATTTTACCAAAATGGAGTATTGTGCTGACTATTATTGTAATTTTGTACTAAAAGGATGTGTGAAATGAAGAATATGGCTACAATTTCTTCAGAAAATTTACAAAATTCACTACGAAACTTTCCAAAACTGAAATTTCCTTCAAATTTTCAAGAAGGAAATTTGCGAATCGAGTTTTCCTGTCTAATTCGAACCCTGGCTGCATAGCTACATGTTAGAAATATCTGGTCAGATACCCGATACTTTTATATATTTCTTAAATAGAAAGCATTTTCTGTATTTCTATACAGTTATAGAAACATATGTTGATGTGGGAGAAATTATCCCAAAGGGCATATTTTTCACATTATTTTGAGTTCTCGCAAACTAACACAAGTGTTTCTATAACTGTATAAAAACACACTTTCTTTTATAATATCACTCAAGAAAAATTTGGAATTAAATTCTCATTACCTCGGCATAAAATCCTCTCAACAGTTGCCTGGCCATTGCTCATGAATCAATTTGACCGTAAATGGAAGTGGCGTGGAAACAGGATGCATGCAAGGATGAGAAACTAGTATTTTTTTACTTGGCTTATAAATATATATTCACTGAGGTCTTCTTTTCAGGTCAAAATGATTTAATATGGTTAAAGGCACAGTTCAGCCTTTTGAATGATGGTTTTTAACCAGGAAAATCAATTAAGCACAATTCAAGATCAGCAAACTTAATGTTTTTAACATTTTAAAACATTTATATTGTTAAAAACATTGAGTTTACTGATCTTGAATTATCATTATGTATACCGGTAGTCGATTTTCCTCGTTAGTTTTTTCAATTAAAAGGGCTGGAATGCACCTTAAAAACCATCATTCAAAAGGCTGAACTTAATATTAACCCACTGAGTGGCAGCACTCTCCCCTTGATGAGTAAAATCGTCTGGTGTTGGACAGATGAAGTAGGGCACATCAGGGTACATTGCCACTTAATGGTTAACAGGATGTATTTGCATTTCCTTTACGAGTAAAATCGCCTTGCGTTAGACATAGTAAAATAATCAAGTAGGGTTCGTTGCCACTTAAAGACCATGTAAAGTCCGTTTTGCGCTTACGTTCTGCGCAGGCTTACATTCCAATGGTCGGGACCCGACCGTTGGAATGTTATTAATATTTCGTATCTTTTGAACTTTCTTGAATTGAATCTCTAGTCTGTATTCATCTACAAGCATAGCGAACCAGAAGAGTGTTAAAAATTCAGTATAATATATATCTAATCATATTTTACAACTGTAGCACTGAGTTCAAAATGTAAACAAAGCGTTGTTTACATTACGGACTTTACATGGTCTTTAAAAGGGTTAATAATATAATACTTATAGTTGTGGAGATCAAGCTGGCAGTTTTGTCAATAAGACTGCCCAACATAATTTAGCATGTTGGGACGTTGGGTTATAGAGTTTGTATACCCAGTTGCCCTAGCAGGACTTAGTCACTTTGGGCTGCGTCCTCTGCAATTCAGCACTTAGCTTGAAGGGAATATGAATAGTTTATTGACTTCATTAGCTTTATTTTTCTATTGATGTTCCCTATATGATGAATAATTAACTGTCAAAAGGGTAATTTCATAGAATTGCTCAGTATGTTGACTCATTAACTCTCTTTCTGATGGGGAACTCGATCGCGTGGTAAAGGCTATATATCTGATAGCCGAAAGCTCGTCAATTAAAATATTAAATGATACCATAAGTGAGCTCCATAACAGGGTGTATAAAAAAAAGGTAATCGAACTTTAGCGCGCTGTTGTACGCGAATTACTCGGCATATGAACAAATTTTTTTCATATTTGGAAAGTTCGGGCTTTTAGTTATGGAATGGCATGTTTTTCATGCCAAGTGGAGAAAAAATAAGCAAGTATGAGTCCGATAAAATTATGCCTAATTAAAGCACGAACTTGTTACAGCTTAGGTAAGATTTATTCCTACTTGATAATAATTATGAATGTGTGTAGTTTAATGAAGTGAAATTCATCAACTTAATTCCTAACTTTAGGGCGTTAATTTTCAATGGTTTAGACCCAACTCTCAACGATGAAAATATGCGATTCTGACTAACATTTTTTATCAGATTCGTATTTGCTCATTTGTCATCCACTTCGCATGAAGAGCATATCATTCAACAGCTAAAAGCCTGATCTTTCCGAATATAAAAAATATCGGTCATGCGCTGAGTAATTCAGGTGCAATAGCGCGCTGAAATTCGATAACCTTTTTTTTATACACCCTGTATATCTGGAGCGAGAACTACTGTAGAGTCCAAAAAGTGAAACCAAGATGGCAGCATCCTCGTTCCCAGGGCTTCTTGACTGCCTTACAGCCGAGAAGCCCTGGGAATGAGGATGAGATGGCAGAAATTGAAGAGCTATTGGATTCAGTTCCAGTCCCTTTCTATTGTTTCTGTTTGCGCGGTTAACACGAAGCTGGCAATTGACCATTTACGTAATAGACTAAATTTTTATCTAAACTACCCTGGATTCCAGAGCCTTCGACAGTAAACAATAAATTGAAATGTCGCGAAGGCTCTGGTTCAACGGGGCGATTCTTTGATTGAACCGCGCCAATCACAAAATAGAATTAGTGGTTTTAGTACAGATTCTGTACTAAAACCACTAATTCTGTTTTGTGATTGGCGCGCCCCGTTGAACCAGAGCCTTCGCGACACTTCAATTTATTATTTACTGTCGAAGGCTCTGGAATCCAGGGTAGTCAACAAGTTGTGATCGCACTGCTTGTACCAAGTTGTCAACAAGTATGGAACGACTTCTTAACAGTCGTAACAATTACCTTCAGTTGATATTATCAGACTTGTAGCAAGGTTGTTCCAATTACTATAGTGCAATGCAATTATGAGGACAATATTGTTACAACCTTGTGTCGTCAACCTTGTACTATCAGACTTGTTAGAACAACATTATAACAAGTCTGATAATGGCTTCAAGTTTGTTAAAGTTGTTACCAGCTTGTTCCAAACTTGTTACAACAACTGGGAACAAGCAGTGTGAACACAACTTGT